CATGAAGGAAACCTCGCTCACGTTTCATGAACTCACACACGAGAGAATTAAAGACTTTTAAACATCTTCCAAAGTCTGAATTAAATGCTTTTAAGACTTTTCAAGACCTGCAAGTAAAACCTGAACATCTGCGGCGCTCAAACGCCGCCGAGCCAAACAGCCGGCAAAAGATTCGTCACTTTTTCACGTTTAACTGAGAAATTAAACCCAAACTGAATAAACTGAAGTCAAAGTCACGACAGAGTCTAAACTGATCCTCTGTTTATGAACGTCGCTCAGAGAACATTTCATCAACATTCTTCAAACACGGTTTTCATTTTTCACACATTGTTAGAGATTTAAAAATATATTCTATGACTTTTGTTCATATTTGTGGGATATTTGACTCTATTTTCACATTTCATTATTAATTCTAAGGCAATTCTGAGACTTTCTCATTTTTAGGAATTTTAGTATTTTTTAAAAATATAATTTACTTTTTTTGGGACATTTTTAAAAAAAATATCTTAACCTGATCCACCCGGCTGCTCTTCCAGCCACACGTTCTGGTTTATCACCGTCGTCCTGATGTCTAGAACTTTTCATCACGACTTTGTGAGACTGTCTTAATATTTCTTAGTAATTTTTAGGATATTTTATTGCGATTTTCTTGTCGTTGCTTTTTGAGTATTAAATGTTTTTTTAAAACACTTTTAGGACTTTTTACCACACGGTCAGAAAATTTTTCTTTTTTTTAGATTTTCTGATTTATTGAGTGGAAAAAACGGGAAAACCAAAATAAAACCCGTTCTCATTTCTGCTCTGAACGTTTTGCACATGTTTGCGTGTTTAGCGAGATAATAACTGGTTTTCTACGATATTTCAGAAAGCTTGACGTTGGCTGTGAACGTCTCGCGGCGAGCTCATCGTCAGAAACCTGCAGATGAACGACATCCACGTGTTTGGAAGTAAAAGCAGAAACGTTTTCAGCTCAACCCTCTGAACCCTGAAACCAGCCGGCGGGTGGTTTGAACGTTAAAATGAATCTTACACAATAAAAGCACATCGGATTTCCTGCTTTCCAACGGTTCTCAAACTGCTCATCTGTGAATCTGAACCAAACCCACTTTGTTCATCGGCTCACTTAAAAACATCTGCTCGAAGCAGGTTCAGGTCAAACAATCTGAGTTTCACGGAACCACTGAGGAGCCTCGAGCCAGAATCAGAGGTTCTGGCTGAACTGCAGGCGTTTTTCTTTCTGACTTCCATCATCAGAGCCGACGACTCGGATCTCTCTCTCCCTCCTCATGTTGTTCTGTGTCCATCGAGGACTTTAAACATGAGGCGGGAGAGAAAACGTCGTGGGAGTTCAGACGGTTAAATTCAGCCTAATGAACCTGATGGCGGCTGCAGCATCTCGTATGCCAACACTGAGACGGTAAACTGGTATTTACTCGTCGACACCTGCACCGATGAGAGGATCTTTTCTTTAAACCACCTGTCGTGACTCGATTCCAGCCGTTCAAACTGACGCGTCGAGCGCAAGTTTCCTGAAGACCTTCCGACAGTTTTTAAAAAAGAGCAGCGTTACCCAGAATGCAACGCTGCCGCTGATCAGTATAAAGACATTCTTCCTGTTCTGCTGGTGAGAGAAACGTCAGCTTCGAGACTCAAAACCTTCGTCCAAAGTTCAGCTTCTCGCGATAAATGGCTTATTTTTCATCGTCGTGCTGCCAACCGTCTAAAAACGACGTCCGTCCGTCCGTCCGTCCGTCGGCCCACTCTGAAATCTTTAAGGCTCGTCATTCTACACAATATAAACACGTCGTCTCTGATAGAAAAATAGAGTCATGCTGTAAAGGAGAGAACAGTCGAACACGATGGCTTGAGGCCTCAGGAGCCGAGCCGAGGCTGAAACCAGACGGAAGGAATGACGTCAGGTTCTGATGGACCTGACGGACCTTCAGCGTCACTTTTCTCTAAAAGTCAGGGAGATTCAGCGACACGGCGTCTGACAAGTTTCAGCTTCAGCCGGTTCCTGAAGGTCCAGCTGTGTGTGTGTGTGTGTGTGCGTGTGTGTGTGTGCGTGTGTGTGTCGGCAGCGAGGCGTCACACACAGAAGCGTAGAAAAAACACATTTTACAGCGTCGGCAGCAACGACAGCAACAGGAACAGCAACCTGCAGGTCGGCGCGGCAACAGTCAGGTCAGGTTACCATGGCAACCACAGCTTAGCATCAGAGATAACAACAGCGAGAACAACAACAACGATGACGACAACAACAACAACAACAACAGTCTTTGTAGAAGAGTCAGCGTAAGCCTCACGTGATGTTTGCAGCTGGTTTGTTTCTGCTGCAGATGTTGCCACAAGTTGCGACCAAACGGCACGACTGCAGGCGGAACCGCGACGGTTGTGACTCGGGCGAAACTCAGCGACAGATTCTCAACACAAAGTCGTGTCAGACAACAAAGCGTGGAGGCAAAACGTGAAGAGGAACCTCCACAAACTGTACAAAATCCATCTGACATGCAAATCAGAACACAAGAGCAGCGAGAACAACGTCACCACAACGTCAAGTGAAGCTAAAACAGATCGCCCCACAGTAATCAGATTACTTCCAGGTTGAACAGTTGAGTGTTTCCTGTTATGGACAATCAAAAACAGACACTTGAAAAAGACTTAGCAGAAAATTCAGGCTCCCCAGTAGAAACTCAGCAACCAAAGTGAATCCGGCTGCGATCATCTAAGCTAACCTGAGAGGAACCTTCTCAGTTCTGGACCTCTGGACTGTGTCTATCTATGTCTGCATCATGGCTCCACATGGAGAAGACCTGAACAGAGGAGGAGAAACATCTGACTGAGAGACTGGACAAAGATGGAGAAGGATCCAGAAGATCAGTGAGCAGCTAGAACCCAGTGCAGCCCAGTGTGAGCAGGAACCAGGAGGTCCAGAAGGAGCCACAGCAGCACTGATCAGGGCTGCAGTGGTCGTCCTCCTACAACGACTCCACGGACAGTCAACTACTGTCACTATGGAGCTGTGGACACCAGACAAAGGCAGCTGCTTCAGACTTGGCACAGGGCTGATCAATGGAGACCAGAGTTAGTGTGAAGCTCACACAGTGTGAAGGACACTTCAGAACATCAGCCTCTATGGACGGAGGAGCAGAACTAAACCTGGCTGCTGCTCACAGCTAAACTTCCACATCAAAGTTCACCAGAGAACATGAACAGAAGCCTGATGGATGCTGGAGAACATCCTCTGGTCAGATGGAGATCAATGTGTTGGGCTCACATGGAGTCCAGATGTTTGGTGTGAACCTGACCAGGACCACCACAGTGGATGCATGGTCCTGACAGTGAAGCACGGAGGTGGCAGCATCATGATGTGGGGCTGCATGAGGGCAGAAGGTGTTGATGACGTTTATAGAAGCTCCATGAATTAGGGCTGGTCTGAATAACTATTTCTGATCTCCGGACATTTGGTCCCAATTAATGACGACTGTCCCTAATATTCGGGGTGCTGCACGATGGTGGCGCTCAGGCTCCGACGGGCCGGAGTGGGCGTGATGCACAGGCCACATTTGGCTACTACAACCAGTTTCTGTGTTTAGGTTAGCGGTGACGGCACCGTTTCCACGGCGGCGGCGGGTATTCGGAGATCAAGTTTGATATCCTGATTCCAGCACAGCGAACGAATAGTCGGCTACTCGGGTCCAGCCCTCCCATGAATGTCTGAGGATGAACCAGAACACTGGCTGACCAGATGAAGAAGAGGAACATTCCAGCAGGAGAACATCCAGAGAACAACATCATCAGGAGCTTGTACACCAGAACCAAGTGGAACCAGGACCTGGACAGTGGGAGTCCAACAGAAGTCCTTTGTGGTGTTTTCCAGGGAAAAGTGGAGCAAAGATTAGAACCTCAGTCATGAAGCTGGACAGTCTTCAGTTGTGTTGAGTTTCTGCTGTCAGGCCTGAATCTGCTAAATATGATCAACCTGTGGCATCAAACCAAACATCCTACTGGTCAACTCAGAAGTAATCTGATTACTGTAAGGTGCTGAACAGTGACATCACACAGAGCTGCCCTCACTGCTGTCCACCGAATCTCAACACGTTTGTACTAAACGTCTGACATTTGATGGAGTGTTGGAGGTTAAACTGCAGCTCCGTCACACGCTGAGCTTCTCTGTGAACCTGGCGGACGTCGTGATGTTCCTCAGAGATGTTTAGTCGTCATGTGACAACTTGTTGGTCGAGCTGCAATTAAATAAGACATTTTTTTTTAAAGAAAAAGACTTTCCTCGTTCAATCAAACTGTTTTCTCTGTAAATCACGTCTGATTCCTCCTCGTCAACCAAACCATTCACCAGCTAACTGTGAACCACCAGCTGACTGACTGGTGAAGCTGCAGCCAAACGACGTGCTGTTAGCGAGGACGGGGAGGAACCTCTGAGCCTTCACACGTGACAGGAAGTGTTCGAAGCTCTTGTGCAAACGCAGTTTTTCTGTCCGAGTCCAAGATACGAAAGAGAATAAGTCTGAACACGAAAACTCGTCCGACTTGTGGCAACATCTCCGCAGACTCCGAGGCGCTCATGAACAAAATGAACATTCACCGATGAACTAAAATCGACTGCAGGTCTGGAATGACCGCCGAGATCAATAATCAATAACACAAACGTCTCCATCGGTGCTTTGAGACGCGATGAGACTTTGAAATCCAAACAGTTCAGTCACATTTAGAGAGAAAGAACTTGGCAGAGAAAAACCTCCAGGTGAGCTCGGGTCCCTCGTCCCTCCTCCATGATTGGTCACTTCAAGACGATGCTCAGTCCAATAACAGGCCATGCATAACTGGAGAAAGGCGGGGCCTAAAAAAGCGGCCAATAAGAACGAAGCAAAAACCCTTAAATGGCTCTGAACACCGACAGAGAGTTTGTAAAACAGCAGAGGAAAACTGGAAATAAATATCAGCTCCGACAAAATCCTGCGAGACGGATTCGGCTCGTTGAGTGTGCGTCTCAGCGGTCCGGACGCCCTCGTTAGTGCTAACGAGGCTCGTCTTCAGTTCATTTAAAAAGGAATTAAACGAGTAGAGCTGCAAAAAAAACTAAACAAAATCACCGTTCCTCCAACAAAAACTGGAATCTGATCCCAGCTGTGCTCCGAGTCGAAGTGGAGAAACAGTCGTCACAGTTCACAGACCGACTTCAGTTAGAAACCGCGTTCCAAGCGGCGCCGTTAGCCGCAGCGCTCAGTAGAAAAACAAAACACGTCGTCTGTCCTCGTTCACAAAAACCGAACACGAGAGGAGGAAGGACGAAGCCCAGACAACACCAGTAAAAGGTCCCCGTAAACCACCAGGGCTCCCGGTCTGACCAGCGGGACCAGCAGGAGTCCAGTTCTCCTCCAGGGGGAGCAGGCGAGCGGGGCCAGGGGCCAAAGCCGAGCCCAGCGAGGAGCTGCGTGGGGCGGGCACAGAGCTCAGGGCTTCTGGGGTCCGGGGGAGAGGACCACGGGGGTGGAGAGTCCGTCAACGCTGAGGGCCGGGATGTGGATCTGGTTACTGCCGTTGGACGGGAACTGAAAGACAGCACAGGGAAGGAGGAGAGAGGTGAGCGGTTGGCGTCTTCCTTCAGCGGTTTCTATATTCCTGTGTGTTTTTCACATAATGCTGTTGGATACGATCAGATGAACGAACGAAGCAAAGACAGAAACGACACAAGCAAAAGTTTAATAAAGACACATAAAGACGACTTGGGTCAGAGTTTACCTCGTCGTGTGACTTCTGACAGCAATCATCCTCTTCTCTACTTGTTGTCATTATAACTGCCATTAGTGGGATTTCTTGTGCACACAGTTCAGTCAGAGCTTCAGACTGAAACGTAGCTCCAACACGAAAACGTTTAGAAGACGTGCGCTGCATCTTCTAGTGTATATTCTTATGAATTCAAAAATAAACAGAATCCTACTAAAGGGGAACTGAATCCACTTTTACAGCGTCCTGCTCTACAGACTCCGTTCAAAATACTCTAAACCAGGGGTGTCCAGTCCTGGTCCTGGAGGGCCACAGTCCTGCATGTTTTAGATGTTTCCCTCTTCCAACAACACCTGATTCACATGATCAGGATGGTTATCAGGCTTCTGCAGAGCTTGATGATGAGCTGATCGTTTGAATCAGGTGTGTTGGAAGAGGGAAACATCTAAAACATGCAGGATTGTGGCCCTCCAGGACCAGGATTGGACACCCCTGCTCTAAACCTTTAGCTTTATCCACGATAATAATCACTGTAAACCCGTTTGTGTGTTCTTGGATTCCTAAAAACCTTTGCCATTGGTTTGTTCGCACACAGACCGCTTTCCGTCAGCCAGTCTTCAGGAGTCCTCGCATGCAGCGTCTCAGCTCCACCAGCAGGAGGCGACAAACAACAAGACTTCAGAGAAAACTCTGGTCAGCATTTTTCACAATATTTTAGACAAAAAAAAAATCACTAATTAACACAGAAATAAGCCACAGATTAAACCATGATGAAAATGAACTTCTTTATATTCACTGTAATAACTAAAACTGCTGCATTATAGATTAAACTGCAAAAAACGAACTGTTCCCATCATCACTTAGGTTTTTATTTTCATAATGTTAATTTCTAATGTTTCATTTGCTGCTTTTCCATGCAGTTATTCTGAATACATTAAACAGCATATTACGGTTTATTAATACCATTAAACAGCATATTACGGTGTATTAATACCATTACACAGCGTATTGTAAACGTAACGCCAGCAGCAGACGCCACGGAGCCCAGAAACAGGAAGCGTGCTGTTGTGGCTGCTTTGAGTGAACTGAACCTTTAATAACTTCTCCACATAACAGATGGAGGAAACTGTGAGCCAGAAACCTGCAGACACAGCAGCTCTGGGAGCTTTTGTGTGTCCTTGTGAGGACTTGTGTGACCTGTGGAGCCACTGAGAACACGTTGTTCTCCACCGTGGAACCTTAGAACGGCTGCTTCCAGGCTCTGGTTCATGTCAGAAGATCAGAAGGAGGTCCAACTCCTGAGAACGTATCGCGTCGGGAAGAGCCCTCACAAGGATAGAAGCGTGCGTGTATGTGTGTGTGTGTCCTGGATCAGGTTCAGCTACATGCAGCGCACAGTGTGTGTGTGTGTGTATGTGTGTGTGTGTGTGTGTGTGTGTGTGCTTGTGTACATTTTAAACTTGTCTTAGCCGAACACAGAAACGGTTCATCATCAGTTCAAAACAACCAGAAGAATCGAGTATTTCAGAACCTGGTTCTAGAAGGAACCAATTCATGTGGTTCTTAGCAGAACAGTCAAAGGTCTGGAGGAGTAATTACAACTCACAAGGTGCAAAAGTACTGGTAAATAATAGAAAAGTACTGCAAGGTGACACAAAACCACTGCGAGGGTATGCAAAACTACTGCAATGGAAGGCAAAGTCAATCCAAGGTCAGTCGAAAGTACTGCGAAAGAATGCCACCGTACAGCGAGGTAACATGAAAGTACTGCAAGGTAACAAAAAAATACTGCAAGGTAGTGTAGAACTACAGCAAGAGAACACAGACTATGACAAAGGAATGCAAAGGTACTGCAAGATAACACAAAAGTACTGCGAGGCAACAGAAAAATACTGCAAAGTAACATAAAAGTACTGAAAAGTATAACAAAAGTACTGCGAGGCAACATAGAAATACTGCGGGGTAATGCAGAACTACAGCAAGAGAACGCAGACTATTGTAAAGGACGGTAAAGGTACTGCAAGAGAACACAAAAGTACTGCAAAACAACGTAAACTACTGCAAAGCAACACTCAAGTACTGCTACGTAACTCTGACACATGAGCGTCACAAAGTCGGACTTTTCAGAACACAAGCTCTGTAGCTGCCAGTCGGGCTGAGATCTGTGAGCTGAAGCAGACTTATTCACTGAAGTGTCTGCGGTGGGCTCGGTGTATTACCTGGAAGGAGAGTTTGGCCGGCGACCGAGGAGCGATGGGACTGAGCGTGCTCCAGAAGTGGATGGTGGAGGGAAGAGGACTGGGAGTCAACAGGACCGGAGTCTGGACCGAGACACGAGAAGAAACCAGTCACGAGGTTGAGTATGACACCACACATGTACGTTGAACGCTACTGGTCAGTTTGTGGAAACACTTGGTCAGCGGATAGTTTCCAGCGCTCTGACTGTCAGCGTGGTGCAGCTGCCTGGGCAAGGACCCACAGCACCACTCATCCTGTGCTGACGGCGGTCCTGAGTCCCTCCCCAGGCAGCTGCACCACCACTGACACGTTCATTTGAAGCAGACTGACTGTACAACCCTGTGGAGCTTCAGAGAACAGGACTGGTGTGAGCGTTTACCAGAGCGTGGGAGGTGATGACGGTCGGCGTGAGCGTGTTGGTCGCCGATCCAGGAGCCAGCAAACTGTTCACGGCCGCGTTCACCTGCAGAAGAAACAGCAAACACATGACGTCACAGCCCGGTCTTTCCATGAAGGACGACTAATATGACGGCGAGAGGTATCGGGGCTGCAGACCTTATCCAGCGAGAGGCCGGGCGGCAGCGACGGCGAGGACGGCAGCTCCAGGCCTCGCGGCTTCTTTGGTTTGGGAGGAACGGCGTCTGAAGTGGAGGTCACCGGAGGCGTCGCCGCCGAGGAGGACGTGACCGGAGAGACGACGGGATCTGACAGGAGCAGAGATGAGCAGACTGAGACACCTGGAGAACCCAGCCAGGTAAACAGCTGAAACCTGTTTACATCCACTGTATAGAGAGACACATACGCTGGTTTCTCTCTGACTGACATTAACTCAGACTAAACTCGTTTCAGGTCAGTTCTTCCTCTCTGAGCAGCCTTCCAGCCCATGTCGGTACAGGACTGGTTCCACTGGATAGTGACTCTCTGACCAGCTTCAGCAGCACCAAAACACTTCATCTTTGGATGGATGGATGGATGGATGGATGGATGGATGGATGGATGGATGGATGGATGGATGTGTCCAGAGGGTTTTGTAGTATTTTGACAGTGGAAGTTGCAGGATTACAAACACTATAAGAATTATTTATACTGAAACAAATATCTATTTTTATTTTAAAGAGATAAAAATGTCCTCTTTCTATGTCAGTGCCGTTTTGTTTTTTTTGACACTTTGACAAGAAGCTTTCGGTGGTTTTCTTTCTGGCAACACTTCATTCGTTCTATTTTAATCTGGCCATAATTTCAGGCTCCAGAATCAGTGGGGAGTTGAAACTGTTAAACCCGTGAGCTCGTTATCGGGGCTCAACATATCGGCTGTATCATCAGGACAGACTCTGATATCTTTTCATGTGATATTAACTGCAGGTTTTTATATTTGCCTTCATATCAAGGAAAACATCACATCAATTTGTTCTGTTTTTAATAAAAATAAAAAAAGGAGGCAGCAGGGATATGTTTTCATAACTGTGTTGAGTTTGTCTAGAGTCTAACACATCTACTCACTAAATCATTTCTGGAAAAGTCAGGCACGCTGGAAACTTTGAGGAAACTGGAAGAACATTTTGTAGAAGGCGAGGACAGCCGTGGAGGTTGTAACTATAATTAATCTGATGCAAACTAAACGGTATTTTTTCCGTCACACAGAAAAGCATTTGGCATTGTTGTAAAGGTGAAGTTGTTATTTGATATTCAACAACTAAGACGAGATAAACCGAGAAGAAGGGAGGTGGATAAGGGAACGTTTGCCAAACTGAGATCAGGTACAGAGAGTACAAACTGCCAGAAGGTGCCTTCGAGACTAAAATGCTTTTTGTGGGTTTTGTTCCTACATTAACGTGGACGACAACATGGCCAGACGTCACAGTGTGAACCTGTTACCCGTTAGCGTGTCCTTGACCTCCCCCTGGGCTCCTCCCTCCTCGGCCTGCTGCTGCTGGACGTCCTCCCTGGGCTCCATGCAGGGAGCAGGCAGGCTCTCCACGATGGTGAGGGGAGGTTCTGGCTCTCCGGGTCCACAGATCAGTTGAGGAACCTGCAGGGAGGAGCAGAGCAGCTCTGTGAATGTGCTGAGACGTGGAGGCACAACTAGAGTGGTGTCCTCCTCTCACCTCCTCCACCTGCTTCCCCTCCTGCGACACCATCTTCAGCAGCTCCTCCTCCGACAGCAGGCTCTCCTCCTTGATGACGATGGGGGGAGGGGGAGGCCGGGCGGTGGGAGGAGTGGTGGTGGGAGGAGCCACGGGAGGAGGAGGAGCCGCCGCCATGTTCGGCTGCGGCTGCTGCTGCTGCTGCTGCTGCTGCTGAGGAGGAGGGTTGATGATGACGAACACCGGGTGTGGGTGAGTCGGGTGAGGAGCGGCGTGGGGGTGAGGAGGGAAGCTGGCGGGGCTGCAGTCGTCCTGCTGAGGCCCCTGGGGGCCCATGGAGACGTGGGGAGGAGGGACGGGGCTCACCGTCCCTCCGACCGGGCCGAGGGGTATCAGGGGCGTGAGGGAGGATGGGTCCCCCACGTTGGTGAGATAAATCTGGGGAGGGTCGGTGAGAGGAGCAGCTGGAGGATTCTGGGAAAAAAAACACAGACGACAGAATTCTCATGAAGAACCAAACAGATGTGACCCGCTGAACCGCCGACCTCACAGAGTAGTGATGTCAATAACTAGTAACAATTTAACCAATTAAAAATACACTAAATGATGAGCCAGAAGAAGAAGAAGAAGGTCCTCAATGTCAGTAAATGTATCATAGACCAGCTGCAGTACCTGGTTGTTCCACCAGGTGGAGCCTCTCACTGTTTAATCCTGTAGAGACCAGAGGAGGTATCTGCCTGATGTTTCTTTTAAGATAATCATTATATAGCTACTAAGGTGAAGTAAGTATAAACTGATTTAAAATATAGGTCAAAAGAGCAGATGTAACCTGGAATTTGAGATGCAGGAGCTGATCAACATCAAGTGTCCATGGTTACAAACGGCTATATGAGCATAAAGCTGCTGATTTAATGCATTTTAACGACCAACTGATTATTGATGACCAGGTGTAGAAGCTTAAAACGGTGAAGCACACTGTTTAAACTGCACTTCTCTCACACAGACATTGTTAGACTGTCAGAATAATGAATATTTGCAGCTACGGTTTGTCCAGCAGCCTGACGCCTCGTCCTTCCTCTGACCTCCGCCTAATTAACTGAAACGTGTCATGCCAAGGCACCCGGCAGGGGGCGGGGCAGGATGCTGACCTGTGATTGGCTGGCGGCGTTGGCAGGTATCTGCGGGCTGAGAGCCGGAGTCGGACAGGGAGACGTCTGGGTGACGATCACCTGGAGGGCCGAGTCGACGGCTCCGCCCACCGACGGAGAGGACTTGGACTCTGAGAGCACGCACACCTGAGCGGGAGGAGGAGACAGGTATGAGGATTAAAGGAGCAGATGATCCTCGGTGGAGATTAACTCATCAGATCCTGATCGGACGACGTCTGCACTCAAGAGTGACGGTGAGGAAGGTTTTCGTTTGCTAATCCGGTGTTCATGCCTCCAGCAGAGCCACAGCAGACGTGTTGATCACCTGAGCCACACTTAGGCTTATTTCTAAATCAAAAAGTGTGTTAGTGTTTTAATTTTCATTGTTTCCACAGGCTTCACAAACTCTTGTCAACAGCCAACAGCCACCGTTAGAGAACAGAACACTGTTCAACAGCAAAGAGTCTGAATAGGTCTATAAATGACAGATCCAGCTTTTGATTTAACTTTTCTACCAACATGTTTCCCTTTGCGATGGAGCTGCACGATTCGGATCGTGACCATCACGAGTGTTTATTGATCTTATGGACAGAACAGTTCGATTGCACAATAAAATGTAAGCCTCTGAAGCCCTAACCCCACTGGCAGGCTTGAAACGATTCCATCTTTAAAAAAACAACAACTCAGAAACGACGCCGTTTATCAGCCAGGACAAAGGTGGGATGTTCCTGCTGTCCTCCAGTCAATCATCTGCAACGTGCAATTAAATCAGGAAAACAAAGCAAATCTTAGCTTGAAATCGTAATATTTCATCAAAATTCTGTTCTTCTACATGTCTCATTTATAAATTCTCCAAAATAGTAAACCATCTGGTTAACGAGCTTCAGTGAAAAAATAAAGATTTTCCCTCCTCAGCACAAATGATTCTCCACGACTCAGTCACATGACGTCAGTTTACATGTTGAACTGCAGCCAGAGTTTCCTCAGAGAGGCTGAGAGGAACATTCAACCTCCTGGATCAATGAGTAGATGCAGCACGGATCAGAACCAGAGACCAGAGGAGCCAGTTGGTGGAGATACATCCAGCTGATGGTGGAACATCTTCCTACATCTGATGGTGGAACATCTTTCTACATCTGATGGTGGAACATCTTCCTACATCTGATGGTGGAACATCTTCCTACATCTGATGGTGGAACATCTTTCTACAT